AGTACTCCAGACGGCGGAGACACGTTGGCATCAAAGGAAACTCTGGATACAATAATGGAAGCATCACCATCTTTTTCAGCGCTTCGATGTGTGATTCCAGCCCGCCCACGCTGTCCCACGTGACGCTGTGATCCACCTCGACTGGCGTAATATCTGCGCGTGATCTTCCGCCTTTCCTGCTGCTCTCGTCGTCCTTGTCACAAGTATCCAAACTTATATCTCCTTGCTCAGGTATTGAAGCAACATTTCCAGCTGTAGCACCAACTTGTAGGGCATCAAGCTCATCAATCGCACTGCTCTTCGTACCTACATTAGCACTATGCAATACTCCGACCGAGTTACCAGTTTTCACGTAAGGTGCTTCATCTGCATACGCACTGTTGAAGTACCCAACAAGTGCTTCTTCCCCCAAGAAAATAGTCTTGACCATTTATTCCATTTGGGTTGCCTCCAGGACGAACGTAGCGATAGCGCAAATCCAAACTTCTACTCGACGAGGGTTTATAGGACCATCCCACACGGCGTAACACTTTCCAAACGTCCTTGAAATTCACAGAATTATCTGTTGCATAAAATAAAAAACAAACATGTTATCACCTGCTACCCGTAGTCTATAGTCTAGTGACTATACAAGTGCCACACCTCGAGAAAGCTGTGGTGTGTTGCTGGCTTGAGACCTGCGCTGACGCTTTGAAGCCCGCTCAGCCATCTCTGCGCTCAGTTCCTAACTCCTCTCGCTCGCAGCTTTTCAGAAGTGAGGTCCAAATTGGACCTCCGAGATCCACTCTGCCTCCATGGAGCATCGCCACCTTCTTCCACTGTGGCAAGGCTGTCATTCACGGTACTGCACCTTGTGCCAATGTTGGGATAGAAGGAAGATTTTCGTGTGTTTTCGACGAATCATCAGTGCCGTCAATTATTTTCAGCAAATCATATTGCAGCAATCTGAACCATACATTATGTACTGTTTTGATTAAACCCTCTCAAATGCGATTAATAAGCTCGCAAACCCCTTCGCAATTGATATACTAAAACCCTACATGATGTACGGTTTTGAAAGTTTAACTTGATTAAAGTATGTAAGGCTTAATATAGAAATGAATGGGGGTGACGAAAGGGTTAACGCTGCAATAAGAGCCGGATAGAGCCGGATACTTAACGTTGCAATAACGCAATCCGGCGGAGATCGACGCGCCATCCTCATATGATTAGTGCTGGACGGGCCTGGTTTACTGGATCAGATGTAGCCGTCAGCAGGGGGTTTCAGAAGATCTCGACGGTATAGGTGTCGACGCTGTAGTTGCCGCGGCATTTGCTGAATTTGTCCCCGTGGTCTCAAGTACGCGAAGAGCAAGCTCACGAAGGCGCGCCTTCGCGTGCAGACGATCGTATTTCAATTTGGACCGCTGAGCGCTGTCCACGGGAAGGATATCACTCAGATTTGACGTCTAGGGAGGAAAGTTTTCTAGAGATAAGTATCGAAAATAAAAAACTAAAGAATTGCTACGTTTGGGGCAATTGATGCAATAGCGGGCCTACTTACATTTTATTTGCTGCTTGTGCCTAGTTAGTTCGTCTTCATGCTCTTTCAGTATGCTTTATCACTATTATAAACTACGCTATATTTGGTAATCCTAAAAATATGATTTGAATGTAGTCCACACGAGGAGTTAAAAGTTTAGATTTTCGTTAATTTTTTTTATTTAGTCGAGGTCCATAAGTTTTGCAAAACGCTTAAGTTTTGCAAAACGATTTTCAATCTACATTTCTAAGAAAAATCGATCGAAATTGGGCAATCACATGTCGCCCCTCCGTAAACGTACGAGTAGCGAGTCCGCTGTCTGGCTTTTGATTTTGTGTACTTAAATGTACATGTACTGATTTTGTGCTAGTTTTTTTATGAGGCAACAAAAATGCTTTCTATTGTCAGAATTCTGAATTAATTTTATAAAAAAACATTTAGGGGGCGAGTCAAAATAGTATGATGGGGCTGCTAGCCAAGACGCCTGCGGTGCTGTCGCTTAACGGACAGCCGCAGGTGACGCTACGAGTGGGAAATGACGCGGACGTGGAGCAGACACAGCATGCGGATTACACGGTTTCGGTGGGTGAGCCGACGCTAGAGATCATGAAGGTGTTGGGGTCGCTTGTGCGACTACGCATCTCGGACGGCCGCGTGATCGTAGGCCGCTTTCACTGCTTTGACAAGCACCAGAACGTGATCCTCAAGGATGCGCGCGAGTTTGCACCCACGCGCGTAGGACTTGGCAAGAACAGCAAGGTTAAGGCGGGAGCCCGCGACCAGGAGGAGGAGTCGCGTTTTGCCGGCCTCCTGCTGCCCCCAGGCAGCCGCTCGCTCGGCATGACGCTCGTCCCAGGCAAGCACATCGTGTACATGAAAGTGCAGAGCTGAGAATGTAGACAGTCGATTAGTCAGTGACTTTACAGAGCTTTGAGTCGTTGTTAAAGTCGGTTGTCCTCCAAAAGTTGAGCTTCCTTCTCG